TAATATTTGCTATCTTGTCTTTACTGTTTTTGAGTATTCCTATCCATATGCCTTCTGTTTTATTTTTATGTATAATTAATCCCAAATAAAATCCGAAGATTTCAATTTCATTCAATGCTTAGTTCGATATCATTTTTATCATTAAAAAATAAAGTTGTATCATCAGCTTATTGGCTTATTTTAATACCATGTGTTTTCCTATTAAATTTGATCTGAAATCCAAAATTTATTTTATATCTTTGTTATTTCGAAGTCTCATCATCATATTTAACATCCCCATTCGGACAGAAAGTTTTGCATTTTTATACGTCAAACAGTCAAATGGATGCCCACTTAAGCAAGGGCTATACTTCTGTACGGGACAAGTACTGAGGGATGGCTATATTTCTATACTCCATTCAACCCTTCAAATTAAATGTACAACTGGATTCTTTCATGAAAATGAATTTCATTTCTCTATATAAATATAAAGTTAGATTTTTCTTCATTATTTCTTATTTATAAAGAGAGAAAATGAGGATATTTTGTACAATGTATGATTTCCAATAAGGGGGTCTCATTGGGGGGTTCTGATCCCGGATCCCGCTTACTGTTTAGTCGGATTCCCGTATCCCGCTTACACTATGTACGTAAGCAATTCTCATTTTTTTGTAATTTCCCGTGTCCCGCTAGACTTCATTTCCCGTTTTCACGGCACAATAACTTGACTTTCACGTGTCACGCTTTCAAAAAATCGGCAATCCCGGGTCACGCTTAGACCCCAATGAGACCCACCAATAAGACTGGCACTTCCTAAGCCCAAAGCAAAGTAATTATAAGTGAAATTAAAATACCCATCTATCAGTTTATGTACAAGTTTTGATCATAAATTTTTTATTTGATTGATTTATGATGTCATGGATTTTTTTTTTGCTGCACATCATTTGTCAAAGAAAATAAGAACTTCAGTCCTCTTAAGAAATGAATATTGTAACATGTAATTTCTTTTAAAACTTTAAAGATTGCTTGAATTAAAAACATAAAATTGACAATTTGCGTGATTGGTTCCGTATTGTAAAAGGCATATGACATTAGATATATATTGATCAAAAAGTGAAAACTTGCCATGACAAGAAAATTTAAAACCTATTACAATTAATCTGGAGCTATCATCGGCTGGTGTAAACATTTTTATGACTTGACTTTTATTTTAAAATGTTTAGAGGGACATTTAAAATTTTATTGCTTGTATTTGTGAAATCGGTAGTAATCATTTGAGAAGATTTTCAAATTCATCTAGCTAATAAAATGGTGTATGAGTAGGACTTTTGAAATTGATGTGTTTTTGAGTCCATTGATATTGATAATCTTTTACATCGTCTCTTTGAAACTTGTGCTACATTTGTGATTGCTTGTTAAAGTTGGCATTTGCTTTACACTATTCAATATGAAAATGTAAGTATGATTAAAGTGATTTTATTAATTAACTTTAATCGTCATGCAGTCATATCTGTGGAACATTTTAAAATTTCATTAAGCTTTAACGGACAAGAAAAAATAATTCATATTTTCATAATTTGTCACTCTGTCACAGCATTTTCAGGCCAAATAGAATAATATTCTTGTCTCCTGGCAGAAAAAATATAGGAAGTAGTTTGGTCGGTTAAATAATTTTATTTTTGAAAAATGTTTTACTTAGACAAGTTGTATATATGTAGGCAAATGTACTGGACTTTAATGGTGCTTTTCCAAAAATGTCCATAAAATGATAGACGGGAAAATTTAGGGTATGCAATGAGGCAGGAAACAAAAAAATATTTTTTTAGCCCTTATGGCATTGTTCATGTATAAAAAGATATCAGTAAAATATATACAAAAATTATATCAGATGTGTTGCCTTCGTGATTTAATATTTTAAATATTTCGTTAAAGATTTAACTGTGTGTATTCCAGAAAATTTGTTACAGTAACTTAGTTTTACTTAATCTTAGACATTTAAAGAGTAAATTTTCTGTGTGTTTGTAAATATTATGTTTACTATTGATATTTAATCGCCTTAAGTTGTCTGGATTTCATTAACCGTATTGGGTAACACGTCCCATACCTGCATTATATTTGTTGTTATTGGATTAAACCCATTGTGTCAACTTTCATGCAAGTAATTTCAAGTTATGGATAAGTTCGTTTTTGCATCCTGATTTGTATGATAAATTGTTAAAGCTGTTCTATACATGTAAGTGATGTTATATAATCTTTTTGGACTAACAAAGAAAGACAATTTATGTTAGGATTTTTGTTTGCCTTTTACGTAAGTATCTACGTAAGAAGGACAAATAGTAATATATGGATTAGTAAAAAAGTTCTTTAAATCATTTGTATGATTTAATCTTTTTGGACTCTAAGAAGAGTAGTAAAAAAGTTCTTTATTGGTATGATATAATCTTTTTGGACTCTAAGAAGAGAATTCAATTTAGGATTTTTGTTTGCCTTTTTCGTAAGCATCTTATCTATAAAATGAAAACAATAAGAAAATCTTAGCTGATGTGAAAAAAAAAAAGCAAATAGTAATATTATGGATAAGTAAAACAAATACTAAAATGGTAAATTGATAAACAGGCTGAGCAGACGTTATATAAATGTATGATAAATTTAATTAAAGATGTTGCAAAAATGATGCAAAATTTAAATCAAATATCCAAGAAAATACAATTTTGTCTCAATCCATGAAAATTAGTACCCTTGAAAATAGATGAATCTACAGTATGCATAGGTTTTTGACTATTGTGTGATATTTACCGAAAGTTTAATTAAAAGAAAACGGGAAAATACTTTTATAACAGTATTGAAAATTGAAAGAGTTGATTTTTTTTTTAATGCAGAATTATTAACTTTGGTGGGCCTTGTACCACATCTTCAATTCTCTTATATATAATTACATGTTAACCTTAATCTCTTTTTGAAAAATAAGTTGATTTTAAAGCGCTGGTAATAAATCATCTGTTTAATTTAGATGCTAATATATTTGTGTTATTTAAGACGTGGTACATGTAGGTAGGCATTTTTTTTTTCATTAAGTATTCTGGCATGCTCCGGAAGTTGGCTTAATATGTCTTTACAGTATGTGCACATTTATATATACAATTTTATATGTTGTCTAATTTTGTAATTATTTTGTTTTCAGTTTTAGTCATTCATTGAAGATATATTGATTCAATTTTTTTCAGAACTGTTTTTTTCAATGCTAAAAAAAATTAGGGTCAGAGTTTTTTTTAGGTAGGGTTGGGTTACCTGAACCAAACAATTTTTTTTTAGGCCTCAAGAAGACACTGTAAATTTAAAATGTTGAGTCCCTGACTATAATTAACAAGTTGCAAGAAACTTTATGAGTTAAGTCTAATGAGTACATAAAAATATAGTATAAATCTGTATGGAGTTAACTGTTGCATTCTCATTTTGTCAATTTTAAAGTATAAATTCAGTGTTAGAATTGATAAATTTTGACAATTCAATGCATTCATATTTTTTTGTTTAAACTTTGTGTCCATGTAATGTATTTGATTGTCAGATTGTTTATTTTGTCTGTCTGGAATTAATTCCAATGTGTCTAAACACAGGGAGGTTCGGAATTTTACATATGGTATTTTGAACTCATCAATAGTTGAAGGCTACATGGTGAATTTAGATATTTGTTTTTCATTGTTGGTTTACTTCCTGATTGAAGTTCATCCTTTTTCCTTTTTAAGATATATCTTATAATTGAAAAAATATATTTTTATATATTACAAAAGTGTATTTCATTGACCATTGTTCTATACAGAATAGATATATACATGTTTAAATGATTTCAGCACCAAGGTCTGATTTTCTGATTAGTTTTTGCCCAAGTAATGAAAGATTCCTGCATATCGCAGATGTTAGATTGTATGGAATTTTTTCATTAATGGAATAAGACAAATCAACATGTACATGTTGATGTATTTCCATGACCTTTTTTTCTTCCTTTTCAATCAAATTAACTGTTGTACATAATGTATATTGACTGTTTCTTGACTGCAAATGTATTTTGACAAAAGAAAAACTATTCCTTTTATTAAAAACATTTACCTTAACCAATATCTGAATTATAAATTGCTTTTATCTTTTCTCATTCATATATGAATACAAAATGTAAATTTCATGGTCATTTCAAGAGCAGTTGGTAAATATTCATTTAACGTTTAAATATTTAATTACTCAATTTATTTACCATGTTGTTAAAAAAGCAAGACAGTTTGTTCGGCTATTGTCAGGGAACACAGGACCTGGTTTTGATTGAATTTCACATAAATGAACAATTTATAAGTTTCGGGTTATCTGCGGATAATCCTTTGAGGCTAACTGATATTCACTTACAAAGGGATTTTGCTTTGTTGCAAGTAGGAGGTTTGAGAAATTTACGACCCAAGGGTTAAACATTTAGAATTAACAACCATATATATTAGAAATTTAGGTATATTTGAAAAACATTTGATACTTAAATTCGAACCAGTAAACTACTGTAAAATTTTATTCACTTATTGGCAGTTTTTTCAGTTGAAACTCGTCTACAAGAATTGACTAAGTGAAATTTAACTCTTGTAAAACGTTTTGTGCAATTATGAAAAATTGCAAATGTAAGTGAACCAATGCCTGGTAAGTCTTCAATACGATAGAATCCCTAATGTGGATACCTCGGGTATGAAGGGTTGTTACGATAAAAAACCCAAAATGTAAAAGCAGTTATAACAACAACATTTTTGGGATTGCTGTTGTAATTTAATGAGATCGACATGTTTCAGTGCCTTTGATAAAAAATGTCAAATTAAAAAGGCAAAAATAGGGATTTGAATAGAAAATCTTGAAATTAACCTTGCAAAAATGTCCTGGTATACTTGAAAGAGACATCAAGTCTTTTTAATAAAAAACATCTAGATATTGAGCAAAATTCAAATTACAAAGACAATGTTAATATATTTTTAAATATTATTTAACTTCTTTTTCAGATGAAATTAACATGATTGTAAGATGAAATCTACAAACAGAGAGGGGTGGTAAAAGTAAAACAGTGTAATGAAAGATGTTAAATTACCCATAATGCAGTGTGTAAAGTTTCTGTAAATCCAATATGGTAATGGAGGGCTACATCTTTGATGAAGATGAGGACGAGGAACCAGAACAAAACCAGAAATTTCATATTAGGAAACCAGTCAAACCTTATATTTGCTCAACACCAGGAGATTTTAGTGAAGAAAGAGATTTCTTACTTGAAAATGTATTTCCGAAACTATGTGAGATTTGTAAATTACGAGGAGGATATTTCTCACCCGTTGATATTCGATGGGAAAATGACGATGAACAAGTTGTGAATGGTCATTTGTTAAAATTACTACTAGATTACATTTGTAACTGTTGTCCATATTTCATATGTCTTCTTGGCGAGACTTATGGACCGTACCGATCTCTAGATGCTCCAAAACTGCCGAAACGATTTAAGATAAATGAAGATGCCGATTGGTTGGACAAAAACTACCTTATCGCTGCTTCAGCAGGTTATGACTGGGTTTTGCAAGAAGGTCATCAGAATACCAGTTTGACCGAATTGGAAATAATTCAGGCTGCCTTCCTAAACAATACAAAACACTGCCATTTTTATTATCGTCAACCAGAACATTTGAATCATAAATATGGACATTTACCATCAGACGAGAAAGAAAAGCTGAGTCAAATTCATTTACCAGATAGTGAATATGCAGATCTGAACATTAGGGATTTAAAACAGAGAATTGTTAACAAGGGTATTCCTGTTAGATTCTTCAAAACTTTGGAGGAGCTTGGAAATTATGTGATGAAAGACTGGAGTGGAATTATTGAAAATGTGTTCCCTTTTTTGGAGTATCCAATAGAGATTTTAGGTAAGAAACTCATAAATTCTCAAAATAAACTGCCTCATATGTGAAACATCCGTATACATGTAACTATCTGTGTACATCTTGATTTTAGTATACTTTAAATTTATAAATTTTAAAAAGTATTATATTGAGAAACTTTTCTTTTTGTTTTTCAAAATTAGAGATATGTTAAGCTATTTTATGACAAAACATATAAATTGATATTCTGCAACTATACCCCATTAATATAACAAATAAGGTGAAAAACATCATTTATAATTGATTGTGTTAAGTTGTAGAACTACATGTAGTTCAAGTATATATAAGTAAGTCCAAGTCATTACATGTATATTCCACACAGATTTGACAGGAAATCACAAGCAAAAATATTTTTTAAGTTGGTCAATACCAGTTTAGATTATGCAAATTTACAAAAAAAGAAACGTATCTTTGATTATGCATTGTACATGTAAAGTAATTTTTTTGTGGTTTATTATCTTTTTCTACTTCTGTTTAGATTTTATACATGTGTTATAGTATATAGGAGAATCTGTTTAAAAATAAACACCATTTCTGTCACTAAATAGAATAGAGATCTAGAATGGAAACAGGGAATTCGAATGTGTCAAAGAGACAACAACCTGAGTGACCAAAGTGCAGAAAACAGCCCAAGGTGACCAATGCAGTGAGAAAATCCTGCACCTTGAGGCAGGCTTCAGCTGGCCCCTACACAATAATGTATACTAGCTCAGCAAAATTGACGCCATTCTAAACTCCAAAACGTACAAATGAACCAAAATAAAATATGCATGCATATATTTTTTGTACATGTACATGTATGTAGTAAAAACTATTTTGAAAGATGATTATTTAAAAATCAGTCTTGTTGGTGATTTTTCACTGTGAATGCTACTGTTTTTTTCATTTCAATTTACAATGATTTAGAGGTACTTTTGTAATGAAACTATTCAGTTTTTAGAATTTGAATATTTCTAAGCCAAAAATTACAAGTACATATTATTTAACTATTAAACATGTTCAAGATTCTTTCAAAAGTAAATTAAATGCAAAAATCAATATAATTACATTATTGTACAAAATGTATATAATTATAGATATGTATAGAATAAGTTATTCTTATGTTATCTTCAATATCAAATTTGTCATGCTTGTATTTCATGAATTCCAAATTTGAATATTATAATAATTAGTTAATAGAATTTCATGAACAAACTTTGATGAAATATAATTATATGATTATTATATAATTATAATACTTTAAATCCCTCATATATGTCCTACACAATTTTCATTACATATTTCTTATCTCTTATTTGATAATTGGTCTAGAGTTTTTTTTACATTGAGTTGTTACGTATTAGGTATATTTAAAGCAATTTTAAAGTCATTTCCTGTTTGACAATTTCTTTTGTATGTTACAGATCAAGAAGAATACAGAGATTGGGCAGCAAATGAAATATTTGCTGAAGTTCGACGTCAAGTGTTCATTACCTCCCCTGCTACCAAGACTGCCATGGAAAAAATGACTGAATTTGCTCTCACTGCCCTTAATGAACCCTCATATGAACCTGAAGAGGAGTTATCAAAACTTAGAACTCACACACTTACAAAAATGTTGAAGAAAAAGTGAGAATATTTCTCTGCAGATTAGTAGTCTGTTTGTACATGTATGTTATAAGGGCATAAGAAATTTTCAAAACCTCCATTTCTGGAATGAATGATAGCTTATATTGTTGTCTTTCTTTGGTTGTATATTCTGTTGAGTTGTCCTTTGTTTGTGTTGATATCTTTTATTTTTAAATATTTTTTTTTAATGCAAAAGTAAATATTTAGTGAAAAGTAATTAAATAATATGAAATAATTTCATGATAATTCAAATTCTGTGTATCTTATAGATTTTAATGTTTAAATATAATTTGAAAAGAAAATTAAAAGGTTTAATATAAATATGCAATAAAAAGGAACATTACTTTGCACTTAACTACAGGGGGTTGATGAACTATTCTCATAGATCTCTCAATTCACTCAGTGGCCTTGTGATAGTGTGTTGGCCTCAAGTTGGGGAGGATTTGGGATCAATCCGATGCTGGGTAAAACCAAATACTTGAAAATTGGTATAACTTGCAACACACAGGATTTAGAGTATATATACATGTAGTAAAGACTGATCATCGCAGAGTCAGAATGATATATGTCCAGATGGGGTGACAAATCTTCCTGTGAACTGCTTATACCTTGTGAACTAGCATGTTAAAAGTCTGGATCAGTATGTCCGTCTCATACAAAACAAGGTTCATATTCTTACCAAATCCAGCCCTCAAAAGAAGGTTTAAAAACCAGGTTGCCTTTTGGCCACCAGATATAAAATTTCAGTGGCCACTTCAAAATTTTAGTGAACAGGAAATAATTTCAGGTCGCCTTAGAAATTTGTTATGAATGTCTAGTCCATAGGGCTAATGAAGACTGGTAAAAAAAGCATATCAATAAATTTTCTATTATCTAGAATAGTAGACATAAAATAAGTTAGTCTTAGTTCAAAGCAAATGTCCGATTGGCCAGCTAAATCAGGAAGGCTCTGGCAAAATTTGCAGCTCATTTTATTTTCAGATTCCTTATAGATCTACCTGGAAAACTCTTTTAGCCAGCTGTCTTGGAACTTTCTTATAAATTTTCCAGTACCACTTGAAGTTGTTGCCACAATTTTACGCTTAATCGTAACATTAGAAGATGTACTTGGCTCTTCAGAAGCCGGTGTTTCTACAGAGGAACTCTCCGCCCCTTCTTTTTGTTTCTTACCTGGTGAAACCTCATTGTTTTGGGCAGTTTATTTGAAAAACCCGGACAGCAACATCTGTTTGGCTGCCATGATGTATTGGCCTCAAAAACACTTCATCAGACGCTTGAATTCCCAGTTAAAATTTAGCGCTTTATAGACCCAGTTAAGATTAAAAAATGCTTGAAATCATATTCAAGATTTAGCATACATTCAAGCGCTCGTATGACTGTGAATAAAACCTTATAAATTACGACCGGAGGCAGGTTATTTATTTTGAATTTTATGATCACCAGGTCCAAATAGTACCAGTAGCCAAATGGCAACCAACAATGAAATTTAGGTTGCCTGGAGGCTTTATAGGTCACCCAGGCGGCCAGGCGACTGTTTTAATAGCCTAAATTGAGGGCTGACATCAGCATTTTCTTGCCTGATATGCATATAATATTTGCCATAGGATGTTAAACTTATCTCATACATGTTGATTCCCTGTCACTGACTCTCTGACTTTCTAATAAAATTGAGAATGGAAAAGTGGAATGGAATGTGTCAATGAGACAACAACCAGACAAAAAATTAGAAAACCGCCCTAGGCCACCAATGGGTCTTTAACGCAGCAAGAAGAACCTGCACCCAGAGGCCAGCTTCAGCTGGCCCCTAAACAATAATGTATAGTTATTTGTATTCTAGTTCAGTGAAAATGGACGTCACACTAAACTCTGAAACATATTAATGAACCAAAATTGAAAAACATACAAGATGAACAAAGGCTAGAGGTTCCTAACTTGGGACAGGCTCGAAAATGCGGCGGGGTTTAACATGTTTTGTGAGATCTGAACCCTCCAACTATACCTCTAGCCAATGTGGAATGTATTTTCTAATTATACATTTTATTTATGTAATCATAAAGTGAGAAAATACGTTTTATCAAAATACGGATTAAAATTTTGAACTGATGTGCATTAATCGTACTTTTACTATTTTCAGAAAATCTGTTGAAATAAAGTACAAGTCAATTTTGTCTGTTTATGGAGACAGAGGTTGTGGGAAAAGTACTCTTATAGCTAACTGGATTAAAAAGTTCAAATCTGAAAACCCAGAGATAAAAGTCATTCACCAGTATACTGGGTCATGTTCCAAAAATACAGACATTGCATACTTCTTACGACAGTGCATTCAGGAATTACGCTATGAATTTCTCAGACAAGGTATTTATGGTTCAGCTATTAGAGCTATATATAATTTTTGTAGCATAACTGGTAACATATTTAAATGCTTTTTTAATACATTGTACAACAAATAAACAAGGACTGGAATTTTGGATTTTGCATTCCTCAATTTTCACTGACTTTAAATTTTAATTGAATTATTTATTTGCATTTTAGATCAGTAAAGACAGGAATTTATTTATTTCTTAAAGCAATTTTTGAACCAACTCAGTATATGATCACTATCAAGGCTTATGTCAATACAATACTTGTACAAAATGTAACTCGAATCTTTAAAAAATATATTAGCTAGACTTTTTGTAAATAAAGACAATACTTGAAGTGTGCATGTGATCTACAATCCTTAAACGTTAATATGAACATGAATAAAAGAAGTATCTGAAAAATAAATGTAAGATAGCAACTCATCTACACCAGAAAAAACCATGACTAAAAGGAAACAACAGACAATATCATGACTTAAAAAAGAGGACAAACTTAGACAATACCATGACTAAAGGAAAACAACACCAGACAATACCCTGACTTAAAGAAAAATACTATGACTAAAAGAAAATAACGCTAGACAATACCATGACTATAAGAAAACAACACCAGACAAAACCATGACCAAAAGAAAAAATTAGAATAGACATACAAAAGCCCACAAAACCCTACACTGAGTAAACTGAATACAAAATTTCCACTAAATCTTTCTTTGCCAATACTTATAGATTATAGAATAACTTTCAACTAAGTCAATCCTTTTCCTCTGAAACTTTCAAAATAATATTGCACGATGTTTTACTTTATAGTTTAAATAAGAATTCAACCAAATATGGTCAGCATATTAATAACATCCATGAAGAATCATATTTTAAAGTCAACAAAAAGATTAATTTCAAGTTCACCTGAATATATATATTTAACTATAGATTAATCTTCATAAATTTGAAATAGGAAAAAGGTTTAATAAAGTGTGTTAGTACAAAATCTTGGGATAATGCCAAGACAAAAGGAATAAAGATTATAAAAGTAACGTATTAAAAGTAACCCACCTGTAATCAAATTCATCTTATAATCTCCAGTTTATAAATTATTTTATTTATTGTGTTTCTATGTATTAAAGTTTATTTTGATTTTTTTCACAATTAATTTACAGATATTAAAAGGGCATATATTTATGAAATTTAAATGAAAAAATATATCTGGATTAATTGTAATAAAATTATTTCCATTTAAAAAAAAAAACTGATTGAGATATTTTCAACTTTGAACATGATGGAAAAGGATAAAATTAGGACTGGATTGATATGCCGATATATAAAGGTTCTCTTTGATTTTCAGTACCATTCAGTTAATTATTTGATTCTTAAATCTGAATATGCCATGTAATAACTTGTAATTGGCACCACATTTTAAAAATTGAAAACTTGACTACATTAAAACGGTATTACATCCTCTTGATTGTCATAGCACTGTAGATACCCCTTTTCTCATTGACCAAAATTAACGTAGTGTTTACGTTTTGTAAAACTGACATCGTGAAAGATTAACCCAAATAACACTGTTGTAATTATATATTCCACCCACTACAATCAAATAGACACTGCCGATGAAAGGGTGCAGGAGTTATTTTTTTCTCACTTGGATGTAGTTATAATATCATTAGGCATCTGTAGAATAAGTTAATGTGTGTATAATAGTCCTTTGGTCACAAATATACCGATAAATCACCAGTGATAAATAAAACAAATTTGTTGCATAAAAGATATATGTGGTGTACAACAAAGAGATATCAACCTATTGCCCCATTAACCATTCAAGAAGTTAATATACAGTCTTGACAAATGTTTATACCATATATATGTCTCATTATAATAGATGACATGTTTTTTTTTCTGTTTGACCTATATAGCCATGAAACACACAGATGTAAAATTTACGATTTCCATGCCTAAATGTCTAATTTTGAACATATAGTTATCAATGTGGTAATAAACATTCAAATAAACATACACAAAATTTATGTTGCTAATTTATTTGTAAGACTATTAATTCTGTCATGTCAGCAAAGCTAACAAAGGAATAGGGGCAATAAGGCCCTTAATTGGTCCAAATATAAGTGCAAATTAACAAGTTATCATACATTCTTAAATTTTTCCTAATTTAAGACTAAGGTAAAAGTTATTCAGAAAATGAATACAAATTTCATATTTAGCGAGTTACCATGGCAACAAACCATAACGAAATTTGTATATTTTGTAAAATTTCTTGATTTTCCCTTTTTTTCATCAAATTTTAAGTATATTTTAGATTGGCAAAGTATGTGCGCACCCAAGAAACAACATCATATTTTGTGAGATAATGTCAATAGTTATAAGTAAGCTTCTCTTAAATTATTTTGATGTTTTTTGGCTGTGCACAATGTTTACACAATGGAAATAACGATGGAAAACTGCATAAATTCTGCACTTTCATTGTTTTCATGAAAACGGTACATAATATGATGGAATTGAGACGTCATCAAATAAGAAATCTTATGTTTTTTATTTAAATATCTTGACTTTATGCAGTTCTGAACACTATATGCAAATTTGAAATACAGTCGACTCTCATTATCTCAAAGTCCGCCGGACCAGAGGAATATTTCGAGATACCCGTAGTTCGACTCAAACGAAAACCGGAAGTTTGACAGACCAAGGGACACAACTCGTGCTTAGCTTGGTAATGCTAAAATAAATCTGAATGAACATGGGTAGGAGATCGATGTATCTATATGTTGTGATCTTTTATAATAACATTTTTCTTCTCTTATCTATTTCTTTGTACAGTTACAATTTTGTCCGGTTGTTTTTGATCCCAGAGAGTAATTTCCAATCGATCTAAGGGTTATTTAAAGTTGACAAAATTGTTCATTCTCGTATACAAGAAATTTAGAAAATTTAGATTTCTTTTCATTTTCTTCTATTTTCAATCTTTTTCTGCAAGAGAAAAACAAAAAGATTAAAGACGCCGATTCAGTAGTTTTGAGTTGATCACCAACGGAAGTCCTATTCCCTACTTTTTACACAACCAAGCTCATTAGTGTATGATTACAGTTAATTGTTTTTAAAACTTTTTGAATTATTTTTCATAAACTATAACAAAGTAGAACTAATTATTTATCATGGTGATCAAAGATAATCTTAGGTAAACACTCGTGGATAAAGAATGTCATAAATCAAGACAGTGCTCAGTGACCGGAAATTTAATTACACGTGTATTGTCAGATTAACTCTTCAATCCATTTAAATCCCCGAGGTCATGTTTTGATATATGTGTATTAGTTCGAGATAAACAATGAATTTTGAATGCTTTTGTTAACCTTGGGACTGTAAATTTAGTTCGAGTCAACCGAAATTTTGACTCATCCAATTTCGACTCATCAGGAGTCGGAATACATACATTTATATGGAACAAATTTCGGGACCACGGGAAAACTTCGACTCATCCGAAATTTCGAGTCAACCAAGTTCGAGACAACGAGAGTTAACTGTAGTTGTCAAATATTTTATTTTCTTTGGCCCAAGCCCGGCCTTAATTTCCCTACTTTCATATTTTTTTCTTTTTTTAGACAAAGAATCAACAGTGGTATCAGACAATGGTCGACCTTGGACCTTCCAGGAAGTCTGTGAAGCATTTAATGCTGTGGCATCATTAGGTCCCTCGGTCATTGTTATTGATGGTTTGGATGAAATAGGTGCAACACTTGGAAAGACTATCAGACAGGTAATTACTCAGTTAATCAGGGTTATTTTTCAATAACCTTGTCTGTCTTTTTCGTCCTTTTGTCCAACAAAACTTTTCATCACACTTCTCTCAGAAACTACTTACACAATGAATTCATGACATTTAGTCAGCAGCTTGACAGTGATGAGTTGTAAAATGTGAGCTTTTTCAGATCTGTCTGACATCTTCTTCCTGATACTTTGAATTTATCAATATTTGAATGAACTTAAAATTTTTCTTTAAACATTTTTCAAATACCATTAAACAGAATGACTTCATATTGGGTCAGCAGCTGAAAAGTGATGAGTTGTAATGTGTACCTGCTTTTTAGCTCACCTAATAATCCATTTTTCATATGTTCTGCCCACTTCAATCAGGTAAACTCTGACCAATTTGTAAACAAGAAAGTAGGTGTCTGAGGATAACTAAGCTAATAATCCTGATTTACTGATGATTTTTACTAAAAAGTGGCCATTGTTGAAGATGCAGGTGAGCCTCTTGTTTAATTTATCAGACTCATACTTCCTGTTTTTTTCTATAATTTGAATTTCTAGTGTATTATTCTTAGCCCGACAGCAAATAATTTCTTGTTTCCTGTGGAAAATAGAGAGAGGTGTTTCATATTGAATCACCCAAAATCACTAGTTTTTCTTAAGGGCTATTCCATTAAAATGTATGTGGGAGGATAGGAAGGGACTTTCAAAATATTCCTACAACCATTTTTTAGATAATTTTGCATAATGGTAATAGACGCATACTGAAAAAAGACCCATGACCCTCATTCAATAATTAAATTTCCCTTCCTACCCTCCCACATACATTTTGATGGAATAGCCCTAACTGAAACCCTGAAAGTTGTGTGTACTGTATAATACGTAAGATTATTTTTTGCAGGTTAAAGAATTACAGTGGCTGCCATTTCCCTTCCCACCTCAGTGTAAGATCATCTGTACAATGAGTAGGTCAGATTTAGTGTTTCATGGATTGTCACGGAGACAAGACTGTACATTGTTATCAATGCCAATCTTCAACACCATTAATCTACAAATGCAATTTCTCGAAGAACACATGCAACAGCATTTTCACCTGTTAAATAAAAACCACTACCAACAAATCAACGATGTCAAACTTACAAAAAATCCATTATTTCTGAACATATTAGGAAATGAAATAGAATCTTACAGTGTTCATTCAAATTTAGCCGAATATCTGGACGAGACTTATGACAAGATTTCATCGTTACGGGATTTATGTGTTCGATGCTTTCAACGATGGACAAAAGAATACAGTTGGAATAAAGAAAGTTTGTATGGAGACAATGAAGATGAAGATGAATTAGGTAGAGTATGATAACTGCAGTGAAGTTAAACAGACTAATAATAGTTGTAAAAAAAAAAAGAGATGTGTGATACATGTTTATGAGACAGTAACCCAACAAGAAAAAAAAAATCTACATTAACAACCACTGATGAGTTATCAGTTCTAAGTCAGGAGTCAGTTTAACATAAAAACTTACGACAGATTGATCGTAAGTCATGAACAATTCAGTATACTTACGATCAATCTTAGTCGTAAGTTTTTTTGTGAAACCCACTCCAGGAACTTTGAACATGTTTGCCTTATGTCTTTTGTGTTTAACTGTGGATTTAGTACATACATAATAACTTTTTTGGCTTTTTGTGTTGTTGGGTTATAGCTTTCTAACATATCACAGCAAACAGTTAATCTGTAAGGTTCTTAAGTGTGAAATTATGTAGTAAAAAATATAATAACATTAACATGAACAGCCTGAGCTTTATGAATCATATCATTACAATAATCATTAAAAATGTAAAGTATTGAAATAAAAAATAGTTTGAGTTATCTCCCCTTAGTTGATGTTTCCATAAACAAAATCTAAGTATGTGACCCTGATGACACAGTGTAGTGTAACAATAATGTATAGTAACTGTTGTTATCTTTTCTCAGTTATTTATTTGTCTAAGTTCAATGATAAAAACAATTGTTTTTGCTTTCCTATAAGTTACATAAAAGCAACAATGCGTGATGGCATCTCACAGAAGGAATACAGCTTTTTGCATTGTACATGACTGATAAAAGAATGTTTAATTTTGCTTACATATTCAATGTCTAAGAATTATTACAAAAATATTCTACCACCATATATCTCTTTTTTAAAAATTCTTGGCAATTATGAAGTTTAAATTTCAAAGTTTCAATGTATTTTATGCGTAATATTTGATCAAGCTTGATACAGTGGTAGAATATTGATATATGAATGAGTGTTAAAGCTTTTTTGTGAATGTTTTTTTTTTTGCTTGTTTTATGCTGCAATGATTTTTTTAGTATTTCATTGGTAATAAATAATAATGAATTCACATAATTTTACATCAATAATCTTCCTTGTCTTTTTTAAAAAGAGTTAGAGGGTTGGATACCTGATACTTTACGATTGTTTGCTGTATGCCGAGGTGGTTTAACGGTGGAGGAAGTGCTTGCAATATTACAGACTCTTGGTTATCGTAACACTAGAGAAGTAAAGAGTTACGATTGGTTGCAGTTCAGAAATTGTATTGGCAACTTTCTTCTTGAAAAAGCTAATGGTTTATTAGACTTTTCTCACCAGCATTTAAAAGAAATTGTGGAATATGTTTTATTACGTAAGTATTGCAAAAAAAAATTTGTTTTCCTTATAATGAAAATATATCAAATGTTTTACACACATTTTGCCTCAACCTTATCAATTTTTAGTACTGAACACATTTTTGATGGGTTTTATTTAAGACCCCAACTTTTTTTCCAGATTTTCATCGAAAATAAGTCATTTGTAAAAAACGTCATCAGTCTTTAAAAGTTCATACTGCATAAAATAATTGCTGTTTCGCAAAATAGCATGTGCATGCTGCTGCCTGCTAATATTGCTTCCATCAGTAATGGATTGTGTATTGAGCTCAATTAAAGTTTGATATAATGTTTTTCTTTCTTTCCTGTTTCAGGTCGTTTTCTTTCTTTCCTGTTTCTGGTCGTTTTCTTTCATTTCTGTTTCAGGTCTTTTTCTTTCTTTTTTGCCTTTGACAATCTGAAAAAATTGGTTTATAGACAAAGATTACACAAAAAAAAATATATATATAAAACGTTTTTTTTTTTACTAACTAATAGTTATTTGATATGAAATATTGATCAGAAATTATGAAATAAGGAAACACACTTTTGACCTTTGATTTTAAATATTAATTTAGATATTGACTTTTGACCCATGATTATAAATATTAATTCACAGATTGAAAGTGATTTTCATATGAAATTCCTCTTACCCAAAAATTCTTCAGTATGAAACATCCTGTTTTGATGCAGGTATTAGAATTTCATCAGGACATTCTTAAAAATTAGTTTGTTGTTTTTGAATATTTACTATTTATCATTGGTAATTGATAAGATCCCTTCAGTGGTCTTACGTATTTGTGATTTAAAATTTGTTCACTGTGTATACAGTCTTTTTTTTAAAGAAATGATTTTATATTAAATCATTTGGTCAGATTTTTGAAAACTTTGTGCCCAAGATTAAAAAGAATTCAAGAGTTCCTTTATTTTTCTCACTAACTTTTACTTAAAAAATCAACTAAATTTTAATTCTAAACAGCAACACTTGTGGTTAAGTCACCAAACAATGAAAGGAGGTAAAATTAAGGATATTGGTATCCCAATTTGAAAATAAAACGACTAAACGATCAGAATAGTCCTGTCATAAGTTTTTAAAACTTTCTTGTGTGTGTGTACGTGTGCTGATTTGATGGTGAACAAAATCACAATAGTTGAATTATGACCTAAGACTAGAAACATAAATCTTATAATTTGATTTTTTTTAAATTGTATGATACCATGGATACCAATAGAATTTTTCGAAATTTATAAACAAATATAATTTTTTTTCTAAATTTAAAAAAAAAAATATTACGAATACAGCAAACAAACTTGATTAATTAAAGGCCTTAGTTTTCAGATTAGGTGGTTGAGGTTTTATATTGGAAAATTTATACAGTGGTTAGTGATTTATTACTTTGTACTAAACTGAAAAAAAGGTAGTAATTAGTTTTATTTTTGCAGTCGACAGTTTTATAAGTACATATTTTTATAGGTGTAGTAGTTTTAGCATATTTACACAAGACATGACTTCATTATACATGTAGCCATGTATAGCACATATATATACTATATATATTTATTTCCCTTCCTTGGCATATAAAGATAAGGTCTTTAATTTGCATTAATAAAATGCATTTATTTTTTTTTGTTTTTGTATCAAGAAGTGATCATATGCATAGATAAATTTCATTGTATTTGTTTGTTTTTTTCTGAAATTTTGAAAAAAGCATCATAGTATTGATCATGGCTTTAAAATCTGTATTACACATACCCCTAGTTAATCATGTAACCATGAATATCATAAAGTGTGATGGAATAGCATTTTCAAGTGGCAAAATCGTATAAGATAGAAATATACGTTTAAAAAGTGTGATATTGGGTTCATATCGCTCTCCATTAACCAATATCAGGCCTATTAAGTCGCTCAGAAGTCTATGGATGACATGGGATCCCATGATTTCCTTTTCTTTAGAGCAAGGATCCAATATGCTACACATTTCTTTGTTTCTTAGATTTTAATCCTTCCTATTAGTCTTTTAAGTCCAATATTATGTATATATGCATGCTATTTTAGGAGGTGCTAAAAAGAAGGACAGTAAAAAGAACCAAATGAAGCAGTTTAGTCTCCGTAGGTTTGAGAAATCCCGCCTTACATCATAACAGTGTTCTTAGACCTTGACTAACCACTAACATCAGCGCCTTAATTCAAACATTGTGGATATTACAGTTGTCAAAATCATAGTGAATGTTTCAACTGCCCTAAATTTTAATGTTTGTTTTTATTGATCTTTTTCATTTTTTTGAAAACTAGTTGATGATTGTTACTTCTGTAAAGTTAGTGTTTTTGGGGAAAATTGACACTAATTTCATTATACAGTAAATTTATTATAATTGGTGGGAAATGTTCAACGACGTACAAATTTACTATAGCAGACTTTGGCAAAATCAAACATCATAGAAAATTGAATTTTTCTCAATCGTGAAAACTGGTACCCATGAAAATAAATTAATCCACAGTCGTTTAAACCAGTGACATATTTTGGTTTACTGCGTTATTGTATTAATATATGATTTTGGTAAATCTTGGAAGTAAATTTTTTCAGCAATTAATCTAGAAGTAACATTGAAAAAAAAAATTCTTTTTTGTTTTTATTTAATGAAAAGTTTGACCTGTCCATATTGTTTTAAGGCACTAAAACATAATTCTAACATTTTAATTGTATTATATATGCTTTTTGACCCTTCAAGAATTCATTGCTAATTTGACAATTTTATTTACAGGTTTGCTTTATATCAAAACATAACATGTAACACCTTTACAATCTTGCTAACCATGTATGCTGCCTTGTAATTTATCAATTTAAGCTGCATTGACAGTCATATGTAACCTTGGACACAATCCCCCCTCCCCTACCCCCCATTATTATTATTGATGTTGTACCTATGTTTATATATCTGAAAAGTGATCAAAGTCTAACATCTTTATTTGTCATGTATGTACAGATTTTAATTGCTTAACAAATTTGATTTATAATTGCTCAGTGAGCATGCCTCTTTTTCTTAGTCTTATACGCCATAAGGTAAAGTAAATGGTAATGTTTGTTTTTGTCTTAAATGTGACTGTCATCTAGATAATGTTTTTCTTGTATTGGTGCCATCTTTGACATTGATGGTAACAGCATCGATACTACTGTAAATTCAGAAATTATTGCGATGTTTTTATTATTGCGAAAAATGCGACAGGGTTATAATCGCAATAATTTAAACTCGCATTTTGAAATTTTGTATATGAATTAAGCAGATTTTTCTCAATATCGCAAAAATTAAAATCGCATTTTAGTCTAAAATGATAAAATCGCAATAATAAATGCACGCAATAATTTCTGAATTTACAGTAAGTCATGTTTCTGATGAGGTCTGTTTCAGAATAAGTACTTACAATGGGTCATTTATATTTTGGTGCCATCTAACTGTTCTTGTTATTGTGGTAAACTTTGGAATTATTTTATTTTAATAACAGAAATAGAAGTCCAAAATTGAAAGTATAGCTTTTCATACACAGTACAATGCTTAATATTTCTTAGATGTTGAAATATATTTTAGTTTTAAAAAATGCTTAAAATCTTAAAATTAACACCAGTTAGCTTCTCATTACTGTTTCTATCAGCTTAAAATCGAAAAAGTTCAAAATAAACAAAAAGTAGGTTAAATAATCACATACTATTAGATGTACCACTAAAACTTATAAACACTATATTAAGTAGGTCACTATGACACTATTTCAAATTTAAATTTAAAGCTGCAGTTGTAAGTCTGTTTCAGTAGTGTAAACACTGATAACAATTCTCGTTAATAAACTTTAAATAAAGATTGAACATGTTAATTTAGAAATTAATTTTAATATTTACTTTGATGAATATTTTAAAGTATGTTATACAGCTGTGACCTTGGTGTTATAAGAAGAATCAATAATTGTGAAAAGTATGACAGTGATTTACTCATTCTGTCATTTTTTTGCATTCTTAAAAAAAAATACAATTATTTCTCAATAAACTGTGATATGATTTTTTAAAACCGTCTAAAATGTGAGATAATTTAGATTTACTCAACAGTTAACAAATATTTTGTGTTAACTTTTTTTTTATGTCTTGTTATATTTTCTAAGCAAAACAATATTTTTTGTGCAAACTAAAACTTTTAAGTTACTTTTACCAAAGATTTACCAAAAAAAAAAGTTTTTTTTTGCATATCTGGTAATAATACAATTTTAGTGCACTTTAAACTTGACCTTAATTAATCTACATACATGTACATGTATTTTGATTGACAAGTTTTATTTTTTGGTCTATATTGAAAAACAGTAGAAACATTTATTTTATTTGCAGTCAGTGCAGACCCTTTTTGTACCAATTTTGGAGCAGACCCTTTTTGTACCAATTTTGGGGCATGCAAATAATTTTTACAAGTGGAAAGTATTCTCAATGAAATTTACAGAAGTGTTTAATCAAAAGATATGAGAAAATATAGGATTTTCCAAAAAAAATGTACTCAATGGAAAAGCTTTGAAATTATCACAAAAGGGTCTGTTAAATCCTGTTTGTACCATTTTTACCTTACTATCCAAAAAATATTTTAATGATCAAAGAAACTAGCCTTGTTTGACATATATATTTATATTTATATTTTTCAGATTCTTTAAAAGCAGGTGGTGGAGCTGCTGCTACATCAAATGAACCAGAAAATGAATGGAAAGAACAGAAGAAGAGGTTCCACAGCCATGTAGCAAAATTTTTTCTCAAGCAACCATTTTGTCAGAGAACCATTGAGGAGTTACCATGGCAACTGTTGATGTCTGGTGACAGAAAAACTCTTGTTCGGGTGTTGACTGATCCTGTGTAAGATGTTCGATATTATTCAAAGAAATTACAATCAGAAGATATAATATTGAGTAATTTATATCAATGTACAAAATGGTCTGTTTTAACATTTAATGTTCATGTAGACATTGACTGACACATCATAATTTTTTTACTTTGATGATTTTTTTAAATAGAATTTTAAAAGAATGAAAAAGCTAAACTTCAAACTCATTTAGACTAGACTGTTTAAATCAGACTTTGAACCTGTTGATTACTGGTACCTCATACTATGTTAAATAATTATGGTTGATTGATTGCCTGTTGGTGTTTAACACCACTTATACTTTGCTATTTCATGCTGCCAGATTTTTCTTGGTTGAGGTAGCCAGAGTACACTGAGAGACCATGACCTTCAGCAGGAAATCTGGCAATCCTAGTCAATAAAGATCTGAGTCAAGCACATTGCCGCTAGCCAGGTTTTAACTCACAATCATAGTAAAAACAGGTTATTGATGACTATAGATGAACTACGGATCGGCCCCAGGGCCCCTTGAATATAAATGTGAATTTACTATTTAAATTACAGAATTTTGGAAGGTTTCCTAGATGAATTCAAGAAAAATCCATCAAACAGGCAGGATCTAGCATTCTTTTGGAATATCCTGAAAGATGAGGGCATTAGTGTTACAACAACATACCAACAGATGTTAATGAAACTTGGTATACTGGATCCTGTCGTTTATGACAGTGAGGTAGTTAATATTTTTAGCTACACTTACAATCAGAAATTATATAATGATGATAGCATTTGTATTCCATACTTTTTTATTTCCATAATGTAACTTTCTCTTATGCCAAAGTGTTCTATATCCCCAGCTACAAAGGAGGGTGTATATATACTGGTATACATCGGTCTGTCAGTTTCATAAAAAATATTTCACATTTTTTTTTAGAAACTTTATATAAACTATAGACTTTCCTGAAGTTAGTTTTCAATCTTCATGTTGTCAATGTATATTTGTTCCGCCTAACAGAAGTTCCTCAGGAAACTTTGTTATAAACAATGCCATAATATATGTTCCTATTGGAACAAATATTCAATACCATTTATTCCGTTAGGAACAAATTCTGTAATATTTGTTCTAGTGGAAATAACATTACATGGTATTTCTTCCATTTGGAACTTCTACTATGAAGGATCTTATATTTCATGACAATGTGAGCATGATATAAAAAAAATTCGTAAGGGTTCCGCGGAACCCAGTGTCTCGCCTACTTTTGCTGTTAATCGCAGGCTCAACAAAAATGAGGAAAAAAATAAATAAAAATATTCCTCTCTATACTATCTTTTGATTGTAAGTAGCTTCTGTCCAAGTTTGGTAAAAATCCATGATAGTTTATGAATCTAATAAATGTTTTAAAAACTTAAACTGCAGACTGTATGTTATGTTAACTAGAAGAAAAACTAATTCCATTTATAAGTAAATTACAGAAAAAATGGAACAAATTCTTACAAAATTTCCTTTTAGATACTAGCTTTTAATCATAAACAAGCTTCTTTCCAAGTTTAGTAGAAATCCAGGATAGTTTAAGAAAGTTATTAAAATTTCAAAAACTTTAACCACAGAGTGAATGTAATGTTTCCTGGCAGAAAAACTAAGTCCATTTATAAGTAAAATACGGAAAAAACGGATTTTTTTTTTACAAAATTTACTTCTGGATACTATCTTATGATCATAAACAAGCTTCTGTCCAAGTTTGGTAGAAATCCAGGATAGTTTAAGAAAGTTATTAAAATTTCAAAAACTTTTACCACAGAGTGAATATTTGTGGACGCCGCCGCCGCCGACGCCGATGGAATGTAGGATCGCTATGTATCGCTTTTTCGACAAAAGTCGAAGGCTCGACAATAAGAAGATGTGGTATAATTGCCAACAAGACAACTCTCCACAAGAGACCAAATGACACAGAAATTAACAACTATAGGTCATCAACTTCCTGCTTCCTGAATACTCATATATTCTTACACATAATGGCCATTTATGAATTTTTGTTGCACTTTTCTCAGGAACTAAAATCAGGGCTTTCTGAAATGTGGAATAAAGCTTCATGTGAGCATGCTATACTGTAATATGCATTTTTACATCTATCATTCATTAACTTCCTGTTTACCGAATACTCATAGCAGAGGTATAATTAGGGAGCAATAGCTCACAGTTCAACTTTTTGGTTCATTAATTACCTCTTGGTCTGATTTGTACAGGACAAAAGATGGTACTGACCTTTTTTATCATATATATTTCCTTTTAATTTAGGATGCTGACCTAGACGAAATGATGTCTAGTATGTCTACAGAGGAGAAATCAGACACACCCACTATACCTATAATAATAACAACACCAGCACCAGAAGGAGAATTATCTATCATTGAAGAAACAGGCAGTATACCAGACAGTGACCTTCAAAAGGTTTGTTTGAATCTAACTTAAATAATGAAAAAAAGCCAATTTATTGTTAATGTCTTTTGGAATTGCAAAAGATGAAACCATTTGCAAGCCAGTCCATTTCCCTATCAAATGTTTTTATATATAATTACTCTTTAAATGAATTTTGATTTTTAAACAATTTTTCTGTATTTCGTGGCAGAAAAAATATTACATTTTTTATTAGTCCTATTTCTGCTTATATTTGATCGACTTGCTTTCTATATTTGCTTGGATGTTTGTAAACAAAAGGGTAGGCAGAGTTTCAGTCTGTTTAATATATACTGTTATTTGATTGGACAATAAAAATTGACATACAATATGAAAATTTACATTTAAATGAAGTTAATGTTTATTGTCCAATTAAATTCCAGTATATAGTAAACACACTGAAATAGACTACCTACCTGTTGTTTACAAACATCCAAACAAACATAGCAAGCAAGTTGATGAAAGGTTTGCTTTGCATGCTTTTATAGAAAAGCTGTAATTCATCAGCTAACACCATGTTTCTGCAATGCCTTGATTTCAATTCAACTTTCATATATAATACTATTAAAGTTCTTTATAACATTGTGAACCTCTGATTTTTATTCATTATTCATCTGATTTGTTTTAATTTTCAAAAGCAAAGCATAAGTTTTGCCATATTTACAAAATGGATCAGGAATGTTCAAAATGTTCAGATGTTTAAAAAGTATGTGACCATTAAAAGGTTTAAGTAATTTTTATTTTGATCTAAATTGAGCAAAATGGAATAAGACAATTTGAAAAAAAAAAAACTAAATTAATTTGTTGTTACCTCAATTAATTTAACAGCACTGTCTACTATTTTCTTTTTCTGAACATGCATGAAATATTTGCCACTGAACATTAAGTAAACAGCAATCGTTATTTCGTTTTGTTTATTTTTAATGGTCTCGCATTCTGCAACACATAAAGGTAAATCAATGTATGTACTGACATTCTACTTTTAGTCAAACCTGCTTTAAGATCAACTCTATGGAGCCAAAACATCTCTTGTCAGGTCACCCTCTTCTCATCCTCTTGGGTGCCTCGAACTTCTGTATCACTAGCCAGTCAACACTGAGATTGTGAGTTCGAAACCTGCAAGGGGCAGGTGCACTTGACTCCAATCTTAATTGACTAGGATTGTTAGTTTTCCTACCGAAGGTTGGTGGTTCTCTCCGGGCACTCCAGCTTCCTCCACCAATAAGAACTGACCGCCACAATAGCGCAATAGTGTTGAAAGTGGCGTTAAACACCAATCAATCAATCAATCTCAGCCTCTTGTAGTGATACCTATGCATTTTGAACCTCAATTTAAAATTCACCACTCGTATAATGTCAGTGGTCTCTGGTCCCTAGGGTGACTTTTACATATATGTATAGGTTTGACTGTTGATTAAAACTGAGGACAAGGGCATGTTTGATAAAGAGATCCCAGCTTTGTGATGAACAAACATTTTTTTATGGTTTTTTGCACAGCAAGAATTGTCTCCTAGCATTGCCAGTTTTCCTGTTGAAGGTGATTGGTCCTCTCCAGGTACTCAAGCTTCCATTATATATTGATATAAACTTGTCACCATGAAATAGCCAAGAGTACTGAAAGTGGCAGTAAATACCAACAATCAATCAATCGAAATTACAAACTTTGGACAAGTGATTAGAACCCTTTGGAACTCCAACCCTCAATACAGTCTATAGATATGATAGGGTCATAAAGGAAGACAGAAGATTGTAAAACGGAAGTGTGTTTTAACAAAAACCAAACAACTCTAATAGGCAGAATGAAAATCAAGACTAAGAATTTATGTGATAAAGATATGTCTTTTAATGGCTTGTTGCAAGTTTACTGTTTTTTTTTCAATATCCAATAACTTTTACTTCAAAAAGAATTGTCTTTTTGGAATTTCCTTCCTCGGTAGAGCCGCTTATGAACAAGTGTTCATTTTTTGAAAAACTCATGCTTCTTGGGAATAATATTCCAATGTCTTTGGTATTGAAATAAGTTAGTTGTTTGCCGGAACTATCAAGAACATGAAGATAATGATTTTTAGAGTCTGCTACGATAAGATTATTTGGTGGTGTAATAACCATATCTGTCGGGTTAAACTCATTGTCAGATGCATTTATTCTGTCATTTCCAGCATATATATTAAGGACCTCCCCATTTCTGTCTAGTACTGTAAGTCTCTCACGGTCAACAACACAGATATTGCCTTCAGCCGAGGTTGTTATATGGCAAGGACTTCTTTTGAAAAGAATTTCGCTGTTTCGGCCATGTTCATAAAATGTGTCTTGTTTGCCTTTCTTATTTAGCACGATAACCACATTCCCTCCCTTCTGACCTTTACCCCCAACTATTACTCTTTTATCATGGGTAATGTGGATGGCTGTTGTATACACATATGAGTCAGTTTTATATTTAGAATCAGTCAGTTTTCCATGAATTCGATCCAACTGTTGTAATGTGGGTTCACCTGAACAAAGAAGGAGGTCATCTGATTTTGGAAGCGTGTCCATACTTAAGAAAAAAATTTGAAACCGTGACGTAATTGTAAGATGGTTTCCTTCTGGTGTTGCGTTGTATAATAAAGTCTCATTTTCATCATATATCCAAACAGTTCCATCGCGTGAGCACAATAAGTAATTCACATCTGTTATTTCAGTTGCCAACTGATTCATTAGTTTGACTTCAATGTCAGTGCGTAATTCTCCAAAATTGAATTGGTTTATCTCAGGGGCCTTGCCAGGAATGAAAACTTGCATTGGTCTAGTGTCCATATTTAATTCTTGACTTTTATCAGCAAACTCATCAGATTTTGATGATCCAAAGACTCTTGCAAGGTCTTTAGACTCAATTATATCCTGAAGTTTGATGCTTTCATTGTTGAACTTTGTTCTAGTTGACTGTACATGTTTTTGGTTAGCAGTGTATGTTTCATGCATTGCATTCCATTTATTTTCCAAATCTGACTGAAGTTTCCTTGTGTACTCGTGTACAGCATCTATCAAAACCTTTTCTTTGATAATAATATCATCTTTGGCATTATGATACTTTAATTCGGCTTTTTTATGCCATTTTGAAATTTCAACAGCATTTTTATCCAATTCTTCAGTTGACTTACTAATTACTGTTTGTTGTTCTTTTAATTTCTCCATTTTAATTTTATAACTGTCAGAAATTTCTTTCAATTTATGATTGTTGTGACAATTTGAAATGCAGGTCAGGCAAACCAACACGTCACATGACTCGCAATATTGCCAATATGAACGATTGTGTTGGTCACACAATACCACTTGATTTAGAACAATATCAAACGAGTTGTTCTCGTCTTGAATAATCTCTTTTACCGGTATGTCTACAATTTCATGGTCTTTAGCATAGTGTAGTTCTTTACATAAGTCACAAAGCAACACTTTGCAGTTCATACACTTCCATTTTTTCTCACCAGAAACTTTACAAAGACAGAGTTTATCATAAAATTGTTCATTTAATATCGTAAAAGCCATCCAGATATGTATCTACCCACTTCATATTACACCTACCTTAACCTTTTAATTATTATCATTTTGATAAAATACAGTAGCCAGATTAATTTATCAGACTTATTTGTTTATATTTATCACATGTTACGAAATTGAAGATTGCATACAGTGATTATAAAAATACTGTTGAAAATGCACCATATGATTACAGGTCAATCTGAATAGATTCACCTGATGTGTTTTTCTCCTGGCAAGTGTTTTTCTCCTGGCAAGATTGAATTGCTGGTTATATTTCATCAAGTTTAATGAAATAATGCTCAGTGATATGAAAGTTTTTTGATCTGTGTTAAAGGCCATAATGTGACTTTGAGATGAATAACAGCAATAAAAGCACTGTTCCTTATTTTTTTTTTTATCTGCTGTTATCAATTGTTATCTGCTGTTACCAATTGATACATCAAATTCTTTCTTTCCAATAGAAAATCTTTCATTTATTTAATGCAATAACATGCATGAACTTGTATGCAGTCAGATGAACGTTCGATGTATTTTCATACCTGCAATGTTTGATTATTTTACATTTACTGAAGGGATATTTTTCAAGCAATAAATTATTTTTTTATTTTTTTAGAAAAATTTATAAACAGGTTAGTGAGAAATGACAATTGATTTATGACGTTGATTTTCATTTTTTTAGTTGATTTCTATTTAAATATCCTTCAGATATATCAGATGAGATGCTGTAAAATTATGTATTTTTTTTTTTTCATATTTGAATACAAAACATAAAAATCAGTGACATCACCGATTAATTGTAAATTGTGATCTTCAATATATGATATTCAACATTAAGAAGAAATTATCTTTTTATTTAGTTTTATCTAGATAGACTTTAGATATTTAATCAGTAAACCACATTGTGTAATGATAAATGAATATATTAAAATATCTGACTGAGATAACAATTGACATTAATTTTAGACACATAATAAGATGAAAGAGAACAGAGTAAAAGGGGAACGGGTATTTGCTGTAGAATAGTGTGAGAGTTCTTTAATTTGTTAGGTATTGATATTTTGGTTATTTAAATGATGATTCAAAACCATAAATTTAACTTCAAATGAACTCTCAACAGACATTGATGCATTAGGTTATATTATTTTAAATGGGTTCTACCTGATTGGTTGGTGGTCTGTTTCAATTTTTACAAACAAACAAAAAAAACAAAAACAAAAAAAACTCACAAGACAGGGGGGTTTTCAACTGCTAGAAACCTCTGGATTGGACAATGGTTCATTTCAAATTGATTTGTTTTGTGCGTATTTTGTAGCCACAAAAACTGAAAATTAACTAATAATCTTTACAAAATCGTGAATATTTGTTATCGCAAATACACCTACAGTACTTGAATATATATACATTGCTCTTAAGCTTTCATTCATTAATTTTGATTTCATCCCTGCCCACAAAGATGTTGGAATTTTAACAAGTGGTGATATAATGCATATAGGACCGCATTAAAATTAATTTTAGCGTCAAACCATTCTACAAACATGGGGAAGGAGAGATAATTTAATTTTTATAGGCCCATTTACTGAACATATTATGGTATAATGTTGTCCGTCCGTCCGTGGTCAACATGTCGGACAATTACTCAAAAACGCTTTAACCAGTTTGCATGAAACTTTGGTGAATTGTTTCTACGCTATTGACGTAAGCTCCCTTTCGATTTTTAAAATTTTTAGATTTTACGTTTCCGAGATATGGAGTTTTATTCATTAAAAAAAAGGGGGATTTTCCAGTTAAGGGGGATTTCCAAGTTTTCGGACAATAACTCAAAAGTGCTTTGAGCAGTTTTCATGAAATTTTGGTGACTGGTTTATATCTATTAAAATAATCTCCCTTTAGGTTTATATAAATTTCTGATATGACATTGAGGAGTTATGGAATTTTATTCATTGAAAAAGCAACGGGCGTATCATGCGCTCATGGCGCAGCTCTTAATTCTTTTTGTTTTATTTTGAAAATATACAGTAAAATTTCAAAATTTTTCAACAAATGTTTGAAAATATAAAAAATGGAACTATGGAAAGGAAAGGGGAAGGGAAGGGTATGTTAAAATAGAAACTAAAAAGGTAATAACTAAATGATTATTGGCAGCTTCCTGCAAAGGAATTTGCAATTTTTCCATTATTTAAAATATAGAATATACAAGTATCTTGTATAAAAGTTTGATTAATTTTGGTTAACTAATTTATTTCTTTTTAACAGGATGAAAGCACAAAGAAAGAAAGTGTATCAAAAGATGATGGAATTGATACAATATTCTTGACAGAATCAAAACACAAACATGTTGAGATACCAACAAAAGGTAAAATTGTTGACAATCAAGAATAATCTAATTGAAACTTTGCATTTCCTCAAATCAAGCATCTCATCCATATGCATTTTAAAAACCAACTCTTTCAAAATCTTTGAATTGTATAAGGCTGTCAGTTTGAATAAAATGCTCTTAATTTTTTCAGAAAAAATTGACTTTATCAAGTGAAAAAATAAATAATAAGAAAGATTGTAACAATATATCAGAATCAATTTCAATGTGTTATTTCAGATTTTCCTCAATTTCAAATAGCAATTTCTTCATGCATGTTCTATAAGTAGCTCACTTCCCTCATGAAATCCTTGTCATCACAGTTGAAATTTAAAGACAAAATGTATTAATTAAACCATACCAATACTGAAGCATTGGCCACTCATATTTATATCGCAGATGACAAGAAAGCATACCCACCATTTGCCACAAAGTTGTCATGGTTAGTTGCCTTGTTCATGAAAGACATGGGGCACACTGGAGCTACAGAAGATATTCTTACATCACTCAACAATAAACTACAGACGGTATGCACATATTTACAGCATAAATCATACATGTGTTAACCCTGTTTCTTGTTAGGGATCAATTCTGTTTGAATTTATCAACAGATGTTGAAACAGAAATCAAATTGGTAGTATAGGTTTAAACACCTATAGCTACCAATTAAGTAATAGCTCTAAATTAACAGACTTGTTCAAGAAAATTGGCAAACACATGGAGGATTTGTGCTGTAAAAATTGATTGTAAAATACATAGTCTTTCATCAGAACACTCCAAGATTATATATATTTACTTGCAACTGTTCAGGTTTATACTTTTAAGTTTCTAGTAACTTTACACAAAAATTTCAGTACTGTTTAAAACATTATGTCTCTGACATACAAAACCTTTTTATTCAGGTAACCTTTTATGTAAACTTAACTGAATTTCATTGGCAAATTTAAATTGGCCAATTTTATTTTTTGTCTCTCCAGCGACGAAAGTCATGGAAAGCGAGACAAAGGGATTGCTTTAACGGCGAAGGCTCCAGCGTCAACAGTTGTTAAGTTTTCTGCTTAAGTCAGTTTGATAGAAACTACTTGTGATAGATCATTGATATTTAATATGAAGTTGCATTACTATCAGTACATATCAGTTTGACAACTTTTTCAAGGCCCTGCCCCTAGGTCATGGTCCAGGGACTTTCAATCAATTAACAATTTTCAATGTTAAGTTTTCTGATTAAGTTAATTTGATAGGAACTACTTACAATAAACAATATTTTCTATAAAGTTACATTGCTGTCTGTACATCTGAATTTGTCAATCATTTCGAGGCCCTACCCACCAGTTGGTCCAATGACTTTGAATTAATTAGCAATGTTGCTGTCCATCAGATTTTCTTTTCTGAATTTTATGCTGACAGGTGAGACATATCTCTGTGTCAACAGTTTACTTTTTATGAAATGTTCCTCCTCTTAGAAACAAAAGACAACCCAACAATTGCAAGAAATAAAATATGAATATGGTTGGAAGATTCCCACTGTAACCAGCAGTATATTAGATTGTAAGCATGATAAGGCTACATTAATAGAAATTACTTTTGCAGCATGGTAGTTTAAAAGGAATAGTAAATTTTAATGATACTTATTGCTAGTTGTTTGTAATTTCTAGTATATATTGTCTGCCATATATTGTATCATTTGTCTGAAATGTATATTTTTCCAAAAATTAGCAAATATTCATTGAATATCTACCAAAGAACAACAACTTTTAACAAATGGCAGATAAATCTTGCTGGTAAAATATGCTCCAGATTGAGATTTTAACTAGATTACACTTTAAAAAAATTTAGAATCTTGTAAAACATTTGTTTCATAAGTGGCTCCATTATGAATATTTTATATTCTGCATGAAAATTGAAAGCTAAAATTTGATGTCAGTCGTAATGGTGTTATTTTGTATAAGAATAAACAGTGTCAAAAATTTGATAACAAAGTGCAAATTGTGCTCCTTTCTATACTATAGTGTGAGGTTGTTTGAGTGAAATAAAGTCTTTAACATTGTATTTGATAAAATTTAATGAAAATAAAATGTTGGTAAAGATTTTTCATTTGGAAAATTTATATAATAATTGAATAAAATGTTGACAGCTGCCATTTGTATTTCAGTTCATAGATATGGTAATGACTTTTATGATAGCCACAGAAATTTTTAGCTTGTTTTTTACATGGAACACTTCTGTTATTAAATGAGATATTTATGTATTATTATGCCTGGGAGAAGATTCACAGACATTTTTGGTGTACTTCACTTTATTTTTATCTAAGTTATATGAATTTAAGACTTACTTGTAGCTATTAGAGATCTGTTCTATTATTACTATCTACACAGATTTGTACTTTCTCTTGGTGAAGGTTCAGGTAACATGTTTTCAATGTGTATCCTTGTACACGGTTTATTGCTGGTCTTTAGTGATTATTCACTCTGATTTCAATAATAGTACTGCATAGCAGGGATCCAGTAGCAATTTTCCGTACACAACAATGGTACTCAGTACATGAACTGGATTCCTGTCATAGGAATCTACTGTTGCAGTGCGGAATCCACCAAATTCTACAATTAAAACAGCAATATTAGGTGAACTGGAATACACACTGTATTTTCTTCAATCTCCTTATAATTTCGGTGTTGGGTACAGGTATTTGTTAAATTTAAAAAATGTATTTATCAGGATGAAATGAATTTAGATATGCATTTTTCTGTTCTAGATATTTCTATTCTCAGTATATAATGATTTCATGCAATGTTTGCAAAAATAAAATAAAAAAGTTTTTTAGACTTATACCTACTTTACTTTTTCATTTTTCTAAACCTGAAACTATATTCTTATATAACTTATGGTACCAATACTGGATAAGATTAATCTCTTACATAGAATATATAGATATACACTAATTTTGTAAAGGCCATTATATTTGGAATCAAGGTAAATTAAGGAGATATAAAAGGAGGTATGGAGCAGCTGGTAGGGAGGGTACCAAGGGCTAATTAAAATCCATAAGTGGAATCAATTGATAACACCATGACCAAAAGAAAAAAGATGTACAGACAAACAAATGATTACAAAATACTACAGAGAAAAAACAAAGACCATAGATTGAGCAAAATTTACACCACCAAAAGGGGGTGGGTTGGTCAGAGTCTCAATAGATTGTTTAGAACTGCTATTTACTGTTGAAAGAAAACTCAAACTTTTATAGTGTCTTGTTGCATCTAACTTTTTTAAACTTTCAGTCTATGAAGTACTGGTCTTTTGTGTCCTAACTATTGGTAATTTAGATATGTTATTTCTCCATGGAAATATTATTCATGACCTTGGATTCATTTTTTACGTTTTATTGTAGAACTACCCATTGACTAGAGATGATTTGTTTTTACAAGCCAAAACACAGGAAATGTTAGGAAGATTTTGTCAAGACAAGGGAGATAAACAGGAAGCAGAAAAATGGTTTGTTAAGTCCCTTCGTATCGTCATGGATGCTAGTGATGAAGAAGAAGAAACTGAATTAGACTTGGATTTACTTAATCTAAAAGGTATTGACCTTTTCCATTAAAGATATATTGGTATTAGTTGATACCGTGGAAAAAGTTTCAATTACAATTAAATATTTGAAATATATCCTACTTGTAGTATAAATTGGTGTCTCACATAAACATAACTTCTGTTTATCAATAGTCCCTCCTCCATAAGCTTGTTTTGCAATATTTAGATGCTTTCTTAGAAATCAAAGAATATATGAATAGATCCAAACAAAATGATTTTTTTTATAAAGATTGGTTGACATCTTTAAAGGGAGACAATATTATTCAATCTAATATATCATAAACTACGAGGCAAAATGTTTTCTTAATTATTGTAGTAATAACAAAGATTTTTTTATGAGATTGAATGAATGACAAATGATGATTTCATTGATACAATTAAAAAATTAAAAGAAGATGTGGTTTGATGGCTAACGAGACAACTATCCACCAGAGACCAAATACAGTAGATGTAAGCAGCTATATATAACCAAAAAGCCTTCAACAATGAGCAAAATCTATACTATATAGTTGCTATGAACGGCCTGACATGATAAATGTGAAACAATGCAAAAAAAAGAAAACTAACAGCCTGAGTTAGGACAAAACAATAATGGAAAAACAAATATGACAGACAGCAACCATCTACTGCCACTAAATTACAGGCTCCTGACTTGGGACAGGCGCATAAAGGCTGTGGCAGTGTTCAACATGTTTCAGAGAGCTCAACCCTTCCCTTTAGCTTGTCATGGAACCTGTTAAAACCAAGTTATCTTCTTTTCATTCCTAGAATCTTGAGTTTTCATAAACATTGTTGTTATTTCAGGTTGCCTGCTCAGTCATCTTGGTTTCCTGAGAATGAAGGAAGGGTTATATGACAGTGCAGAGGATCTTCTAAAGGAGGGGCTAGAGTATGTTAGGGAGTGTGGTAACATGACTGCCAGGGCTGATATACAATACAACCTAGGACTTCTAAGGTATGTTAGACTGCTTTAGCTGATGTATTTAAAAACCTAGGAATTATGGGTATTAAAAAACACTGAATTGACTCCTGGGATATTTTAAAAGTAATTGATGTCTTAATAAACAGAAACGTATTTTGTAAATAGCAGCAATATGAATTTCACAATTTACGCCAGTGTCAATATCAGATCGAAAATTTATAATGCTTATAAAACCTATAATTTATTTAATCAAATACAATACTAACATGAAAAATATTCAAAATCAGTTTAATCATCAATGATAAGGCTGATTGATTTTTGTATATATATTTTTCTGTGAAAGACTGGCATCTACTGATTATCTTTTAATGTTTGCAATAGAATTTCATAATGATGTGTATAAAAGGATAATTTGCACCCAAAAAAGTTTAGACTAAAATCCAAAACAACCCAATTTATACAGGTGTACTCTTGAACTGCATGTAGATATTAATTTTATTTTTGGTTGCAGGACACAGCAATCAGACTTTATATTGGCAGAGTCCGACCTAAGACAATCTCTGTCAACACGAGAGCAGTGGTTTGGTAATGCACATCCATTGGTTGCTGATACTTTATTTGCTTTGGCTGATTTGATGGGAAAGAAAGACAGCTCAAAAGGGTATGTGCATTTTAGTTGATTAAAAAAGTCATCTTCATCAGGTAAACTCAAGACCAAATGATACAATATTTAAGATATTTTATTGGTACTCTTAATTAAAACTTTCATTATTATGCCCCACTTACGATAGTACAGGGGCATTATGTTTTTCGGTCTGTGCGTCCTTTCGTTCGTCCGTCCATTCATCCATCTGTCCTGCTTCAGGTTAAAGTTTTTGGTCAAGGTAGTTTTTGATGAAGTTGAAGTCCAATCAACTTGAAACTTATTACACATATTCCTTATGACATGATCTTTCTAATTTTAATGCCAAATTAGAGTTTTGATCCCAATTTCACGGTCCACTGAACATAGAAAATGATAGTGCGAGTGGGGCATCCGTGTACTATGGACACATTCTTGTTTTGTCTGATTTAGAAAATTAAATTACAGATGTGCTAAACTCCTAGGTAAATTTAGATAATACACACCTATTGAACACTTAATTTTTTTAACTTAAAAAAAAACATGAATAATGATTATTTCTTTCCTGACTTTTGAAATTACAAATTTCTCTTTATTACTTTCAGATATGACAAAATACGTGCAGAAACTCTGTATAGGAAGACAGTAAAGATCAGGGAGGATTGTCTGGGATCTACACATTTATCCGTCGCTGACACATTACTGGCTTTAGGTAATTATGGTCTTACTTGTACTGTAAAAGAAATTGAAATGGCATTTTTGGCAACTGATGCATGTACTAAACAAGTCTTATGGCTTTTAATGGATTAAATTCATATTTATACATAATTGAATTCATGTTGTGATAAGATCTGAACATGCACATTTTATTTTGACTTACTTTACTTTACGACTATAACAGACAATTATCAACTGATTAATAAGTAAACAGTGCATATATTGAACAAAATAAAAGATCAGATATCATGGACCTTTCATTTAAAGGACTTGAGACTTATGAGATAAAAGATATGATGTAAACCCAAATTAAGGAAAGCAGCTGAAGGAAAGTGGAAATTATTGTTTGAAATGGTTAATATGTTTAATTTTCTTTATTGTCGTGGTTATCTCCCTTTGTCAATAAAAATTTTCCCTGATAATGTTCATTTCATTCTTGTCTGGTTTAACAAAACTTAAGTAAAATCCATTTATGTAAGATATTAAAAAAAATGTTTTAAAAAAAAGGAGGCTATCAAAATTCATAAATATAGGCAACAGTAGTATACCAGTGTTCAAAAGTCATAAATCGATTAAGGGAAAACAAATCTGGGTTACAAACTAAAACCGAGGGAAATACATCAACTATAAGAGGAAAACCATGGCATAATATGAAAAAAGACATAAAGACAAAACACTACATAGAAAACTAAACCTTAAGCAACACAAACCCCAACAAAAAGTGAGGTGATCTCAGTTGCTTCACAAGTGTAAAGAGATCCTGTTCCACATGTGTACGTGGAAGACAAGTCTTTAGATGTAATTTCTTAGTTTTGGAAACTTGTGATGTTAGGTAGTGATCTAATTTAAATCAATTATTACTGTACACACCTCTTTTATCAATGTCAGTGGTTCTGTCCCAAGTACTCAGCTTCCTCCACCAATAAACCATGTTACAGCCAAAAGTGCTGAAAGGGGTGTTAAACACCGGCAAGCAATCAATATTCTTATCAATATAAGGAATTTTAGTTTTCAGAATGAAAGTTTTATAAATGCTTTGAATCTGTTTCATTTTCATTTTATAGGAAAAGTGTTGATGGAAGAAATCAGTTATGGTGCTAAAACAGAAGCTGTAGGCTTACTTAGAAGAGCTTTAGACATAAAGACCACAAATTTAGGTAAGAAATCAGTTATGGTGCTAAAACAGAAGCTGTAGGCTTACTTAGAAGAGCTTTAGACATAAAGACCACAAATTTAGGTAAGAAATCAGTTATGGTGCTAAAACAGAAGCTGTAGACTTACTTAGAAGAGCTTTAGACATAAAGACCACAAATTTAGGTAAGAAATCAGTTATGGTGCTAAAAAAGAAGCTGTGGGTTTGCTTAGAAGAACTTTAGACATAAAGACCACACATTTAGGTAAGAAATCAGTTCTTAAACAGAAGCTGTACGCTTACTCAGAAGAGCTTTAGACATTAAGACAACCAATTTAGGTAAGAAAATCAGTTAAGGTGCTATATTAAAAGCTGTACACTTACTTAGAAGAGCTTTAGACACAAAGACTACAAATTTAGGTAAGAAATCTGAGTTCTTTTGGCTTGTTTTCTTATCAGATCAGCAGTGTGGATGAGGTACAAGTATGGATCTTGGTAGACCCCCCAAAAAACTGAATCAGTTTAAATAATTTAAGAAGTAAATGATCTGACACACTACTTGTATAAAAACTTCAAAATATGTTAAGGGTATAAGAACAAAAATTTAATTGATTAGTTAACCTTATCCATAGATATTTTTAGGTTTGGCCAAACAATTTAATGCTATGAGTCTTTTAATGTTGAAAATATTTCTCATATTTTAAATTCGAACCCAGCACATGGTAAGGTGTGTTTGACTCCAATTTTAATTGACTAGGATTACCAGTTTTGCAGCCATAGGTTAGTTGTCTTCTCTTGGAACTCCTGCTTTCCCACCAATAAAAACTTGTTTCCATGATATAGCCAAGCTAAAAGTAGTGTTTAACACCAACAATCAATCAATCAATCAAATTTAAGGCAGTATGATGATGTCTGTTATTTGTAAATTTGTTTGGGTTTCTATTTCATTGCTATTTCCTTTCATTTGTGGTTATAAAAAATGGATATAACTGATACATTATATTGCAAAAAATAACCAATTTTAAATCTAATAAAAAGATAAAATTATGAAAAATTCATTTGGCTTTCTAGAAATTTAATACATGTGTGTTAAAAAATCAATGCATAGAAGAATCTACATCTATGGAGAACAATGATTTTTAATTGATGTTGTAAATGATGAATGATTGAGATTACTACTTGACAGAATCAATACTGGAAGGCAGTTGATGCCATTACAATTTTGGTTCATAGAAATGTAGTTTTTGATAAGCTTTCATTTTTATTTTTTTTCAAATTATGTATTGTAATTACCAACAGCAACATTGATTTTGACATGCCTAACAACAGGGGTAATCATCCTGTAGCTCCTCTTTCTTTTATCAAAAATTAGATTTTACTATTTTCAAAAGGGTAGACATCTTGTATTCACAGCTTTTATTTAACCACTGATTGTATTTCAATGAAACTTTTAACAAAATTGTAAGTACCTAATGCCTTTGTTTAGAACCTTTATTATTATCAGAAATGAATCTTCTAGCCTTTCTATTATTTTGGTGAACTATATATAATGTAATGACTTTACCATAACTTTTAGTTCTTACATACCAGTTTATTGACCTTTTGTGATAAAAATGGATAATATATCCTATAAATCTATAATCCATACAAGGCATAGGTAAAAAGTCAATCCCTTTTAAGAGTATTAATTATAATCCAGTTGTTACTGTATACTTTCAGTCTGTTTTTTTTTCAATATTAATCTTAAGGTTCCATTTTTAGTGTGCTTTTATACATATGTACCTGGTGGTTCTTTTGTCTCACTTGCTTTGATATGGGGATTTATAAGAAAGGTCAGTTATTTCAATTATTTGATTATATAACAAAAAGCAGTGGTCTAATTTTTGATTTTTATGATTATATAATAGTGTATTATTTATGATTATAAGTAATCCAAACATAATTCAATGATCAACTGAAAAAGTGTAATGGTTGAAATCTTAAACACATGTTTTTGACCGTCTGCTGTCTGTCATTACTTTCTTGTTGCCAAGATAGCACTTTAATTTTTGTCAGATTCTTTTCTTATTTCCATGAAGGTTTCCACTAATCAAAACCTTTGATGAGTTAAGATAAGCAGTCAAATATGAAATGGGCGATTATTTTTTCAGGAGGAGGACAGGGGGTGGGGGGGATGTGGGGTATTTGAGCTTGCTGACTTAATAAGGTACTTGTCTTATGCCTAAGGACTCAGCTAATGTTCAGCCATTGTAGGAAAATATTAAATAGAAAAAGAAAGGATATGGTTAAATGATGAGATTCCAAAGAAAATGTTTAAATTTCAAAAGATTTTCAAAAAGATCAGTAATTGTCATTATACACCCACTGTTCCAAATGAAAATAGTGATATAATTATATTTTCATTAAAAGTGCCACACTCAAAACAGTGGTGTCACCTTTTTGTATGAAGACACTGCAACCTTCCTATTTTCCTGTTATACCACACTCAATGAGTGGGGGCCATATTGCATTGACTTTGCCTGTCCGTTCTTCCTTCCTTCCTAATGCTTAACACGTATGTATGTTACTCTTTTCTAATGGCCTATACATGAATATGTCCTTAAGAAATGAAATTTGAATTTGAGTAAGTTTATCATTCTATGTCAAGAAGAAGGGGTATTTTGTGAGTGCATACCTACTGTAAATTCAGAAATTATTGCCAGGTTTTTATTAATGCAAATAATGTGACTGGGTGAGTATTGCAATAATAAGAGCTCACATTCTGATATCTGATACATATATCTGTATGCAGATTTTCCGGAAATCACAATAATTAAACTTGCATTTTTGTCCATTCTTCAACAATCGCTATAATAAATGCACACAATAACTTCTGAATTTACAGTAATTAAGATTAGGTCAAATTTAGCAAAGTTAAACTTGAACCATGAAATTGAAATATTTTAAGAGTCTCTTGTGGTTAGTGTGCCTGTTGCTTAATCTTCTGTTCTGTGTTATGTTTGTGGACTGTTGAATGTCTGTTTGCCTTTTTTATTTTTAGCCATTGTGTTGTTTGTCTTTTTCCTGACTAATGAAACTTTGGTGAATTGTTTATATCTATTAACATAAGCTCCTTTTTTATTTTTATAAATTTTAGATTTTACGTTTCTGAGTTAGGAAATTTTATTCATAAAAAAGGGGGGATTTTCCAGTTTTCAGACAATAACTCATAAACGCTTTGAGCAATTTTCATGAAACTATGGTGATATGTTTATATTTATCGACATAAGCTCCCTTTCGATTTTTATAAATTTAAGATTTTATGTTTCTGAGATAGGAAATTTTATTCATAAAAAGGGGGGATTTTCCAGTTTTCAGACAATAACCTCAAAAACGCTTTGAGCAATTTTCATGAAACTATGGTGACTTGTTTATATCTATTGAAATAAGCTCCTTTTTGTTTTTTTTATAAATTTCTTATATGACATTGCAGAGTTATGGAACTTTATTCGTTGAAAAATCATCAAAACTAAAAGGGCAACATGCGTATCATGCGCTCATGGCGCAGCTCTTTATTCATCGATATTTTGCCTTGACCTTTTTTGAGTGCAGATGTTGTAATTTGTATGTTACTAGGTAAGCTTAGGTCAATGTTACATTCAAATCATGTAAGACACTTATCAGTAGATCTTAATTAAATTAATATGTGTATTCATTTACCAAATTTGGAGTAAATTCCCCTAATATGTCAAACCCTCTGCACAGGAGATCATATTCTTAATTAAATTTGATGAAGTTCCTGATAACCAAATTTCAATGTAGTTTAGTTAATGATTGCTTTGACCTATGAGAATTCACCAACGGAAGCAACTGCACTATTGACTTCCAGAAGATCCAGTAATGGTTATGTAATCATAGGTGCACCTGTTTTATGCATTCAAAATTGAAAAATTGAAAATATGCATGAATGCTTATATCATGTGATAAAATTTTGACAGAATTTTTATACTATTGAAATATTTCCCTATATGGCCTCTTAAAGTCAAATCAATTGTGTATTAGGCTTTAACTATGGAGATTAAAGATTGATTGCACCTTTGATGTTTAACAAACAAATTATTTGTATCTGGATGTGTGAGCAGGTTGATAAGAATTTGATTTAATGTAATTTATTTTTAATGAAAATGTATTTAGATTTGATATAAGTTTTCATTAAATATGTATTACATAAGATGAAATATTGTATCAAAAAGCTTTTTGAAAAAGGGGGGATACTGAGATCTGGCAATCAAAATCCATAATTAAAGAAAAACCGCCCCCACCATGGCAAAACAAAAGAGATGAAAAGACAAATAAAAATTCACAAAAAGTACACAGAAAACTCAAGATTGGCTTATAGGCAAATGTAACAGGATTTGTTTTGTTTGATTCGTTTTCTTTTTTTAAAGATTTGAATAAAGGGGACATTTAGTACTTTCCATTGGAAGTAATATTGAGCTTATATAATTTATCCGATGAGTTAAGGTGGTTTTCTTTACTGCATGCAGTCCTTTTTACTGATTTACCAAGTGCAAGAAAATGGAAAAGTCCAGAAGCAAATGTGAACAATTTCAAAAATAACATTAATTGTAGTCCTTGGGATTATCTGTACTATGTGAATTCACATCTTTTAAATTATCAAAACAAAATGCAATGTACATGTTCTTTTGCATGGTGATATTCATTCATTAATTATCTCCTGTAGGATTAGTGTTTTTTTTAAAGGGGCTGCGTCATCAAAACAAAGAAACAAATTAATCTGCAAAAAATCTGTTCATTTTATTTGAATGAAGAATGATTATGACTTTGGGTATATAAACATTTATTTAAATATTTAAATCTACAGGTTAAACCATGGTGTTAAAAACCACAAAGGCCACATCTAACCTCACTGAGATAAACATTGACGTTTACATATAAAACGTCTTTTGTAACTTTAACACCACTAATCGTGTGGACCGTACACCTCCCAGTCATTTAATCTTCTCGATATTTGAGGATAAAATT